CTTAAACCCTAAACCATTTAGGGCTAAAACCCTGCCACCCCCTGGGTTTTCGGTCTTGCATACTAAGGTTTTAAGGATGTGTTAAGGCTGCGAATTAGGGTTTAGGGCTTGGGGAAGAGGATGTAGGGAGCTTCGAGGCGGGGGGTTCACAAGGATTGAGGGTGGGGTAGGGTTTAGAGTTTAGGATTTAGGGTTTGGGGTTTAGGATTTAGGGTTTAGGATATTGTGCTTATAGAGTTTAGGATTCAGGGTTTGGGTTCGCATGACAGCCTGCGCAGCTGATTTCGAACATTGTGCATCCTACACTTTGCCAAACCGCATTTGCCACTCTTGAGCAATTTGCATTGCAAGGTCGGCAAGCTCAAAAGCATACAAGGCATGATGCAGAGTGTCACAGTCATAATACGCTAGGAACTACTCATAATATCTACGGGTAATTAATGCTAATACGAACGGTTGGAAGCGTCAGGAAGCCCAAAATAGCCTACGGCGTGTAGCTGTCAATTCTTTGTGAGTTTTGCAAAATACAACTTTTCCTTGTAGAATCCTTAGTAATATCATTATACTTCTCTGTAACCCCCAATACATTCCTGGGGTCCTTAAAGGACCCCCCTTTTTCGAAAACCCCCCCATGGTTGTCATACGATTTCTCATCCTGAATGTCCTATAAGGTGGCTCAGCCCCAACTTACTATCGTTTATATTGAGTCTTGAGTTTAGGGTTAGGGGGAGTGGGAGTGGAAATATAGAGAACCCCTACTTCACTTTGTCATCAAACCAACATGACAACAGCCATCACATCATAATCCGGCCCTAGAGTTCCCACAGTTCTAGAAAAAGCCGAGGTCACATCGATACTGAGACACGCAGTAGTTATGATAGAAGTGTTCAACACCTTTTGGATGCAGCCAGGGAACCAGCAGCCCGCAGCGCCGCAGGCGCAGAGAGAACTAATGCTACTGGGAATCTTGATGAATCAAGCTCCCTAAACCCTAAATCCGTTGTACTATCTGAATCTTTTGACCCTATGATGCAGCTTTGGGTCTTGGCCTCTTTGAAGTGTCCATCTCTAAAATCACTGAAGTTCCCTACTCCTCAAGCCATGAGCTGCTGATTTTCTGCCCCTACCGTCTTGAGCCCTAACCCTAAACCCTAAACCCTAAACCCTAAACCCACCCTAAACCCTAAGCAGATACTCTACTGTGAGGTTCCTGAGCCGATGTGAGAGGGCCAGCAGTGCCAAGGCACACTTCCGGACCTTGCGACCAGAGTTCCTGGCTGGCGCTAGGGAAATAAGGGTTTAGGGTTTAGGGTTTAGGGTTTAGGGGGGGTCCCTCTTTTCAATCCCCAAAGGCTGAAATCCCTAGGAACCCGATATTGAGAAACCGCCTATTGAGAAACTGCTTCAAACGGTAGATGGACAATTTCCTGCATGGCCCTACGTATCAAAACCAATAAAGTTGTCTTAGGGTCATGCCGGATGTTGTCTAT